TGTTGAAGAGTTCGTCAAAAGCTGCAAGAGTTGTCAGGAAGGAAGACTGGGAGCCAGAGAAGGGCCGTTATACAATTGGAACATTCCTACCTGACCTTGGGAACGAATACACATTGATTTGACAGGCCCCGTATCTGGAAAGTATTGATTAATTTGCGTAGACGCTTTTACCAAATGGGTTGAAGTTGCAATTTTAACACATATTAATTCGACGAGTATAATAAATAATCTGCGTAATTATTTCGCTAGATTTGGTTTACCTCGTTACATTGTTTCAGATAACGGTACTCAGTTTACTGGATCTAAATTCAAAACGTTTCTTTTTAAAAATAATATAAAACATTTTAGATCGGCCCCTTATAGCCCCAAATCGAATGGTTTGGCTGAGCGTTACATACATACGATAAAGACGCGTTTCTACGCTGGAAGGAGAAGTGGGACTCCGGACCGGTTAAATTTTGAGAATGTTTTAATTACACACAGATAGGAACGTTGAGCCCCGTGAATTTGAAGAGAAGCAAAAGGTTTGGGTAAAAAAACGAAAGGACTGCGGGATGGCATGAAGGGACATTGGTTCAACGGAAAAGTGCGATATTGTATGGGTATTGTAAAAAAAACAAGCATGCCGACCAACTGAGGGATGCTTATGTATAAGCCAAGGAAATATCCACAACAATGACTGAAGATTTGGAAGATGCAAAACAAAATGAAAATACAACTCTTAAAAAAAGAGTTTCGAAACCCCCATTACGTTATTATGATGAATTCAATTTATAGTGTGGAGAACTGTAATATATTTAAATAAATTGATTTTTATATTTGCTTTAAGCTACAATTTATTATAATAGATAAAAATAGAAAAACATATATATATATTTTATTATATGAAATAAATCACTTTATATTATTATTTTGAATACATTTCAGATATTTAACACTACTTTTGAGGCTTTTGTTCTTCTACATTATGCTTTTGGCTATTTTAGAATCAGGAAAGAGTATAGGCAATAAGTTTGTAGCAGAATCTGTAGATATATAACTAAGCGAATGTTTTATCGTGTGATAGATGAATATCGTTTCGGCTATTGCAGTATTATCATCGCATAATATACTGTTTTTGAAGTAAGATTGGATATTATTTGATGATTCCTTATTTTTTTAAATTGGAAATATTTTTGCCTTGTTCAATATTTTTTAACTCACGGACTCCTCCGTGATTGCTATTAAATTTGCATTGCATATCATATAAATTGTATTTAGACTACATTCTTTATCTTCTTTGACCCATGAATAAATGATATTTCAGTTAATTTTGATATTGTGACCTAAAATATTTTGGATGTTAAACTTGTTTTTAAAATGTAATTTATATTTGTTTTTTCCTTTCGAAAAAAAATAAACAAAAACAAGATGACTTTTTAAATATATGATTAAATTAAAATAAAAAATGATGGCGCAAGTTTTTGGTTAAGCTATTTTTAATGTTAAAAAAATAGATAGAAAGAGAATCAGTAGAAGGCGTGTTTTGGCATAAACTAAGTAAAAAATCAAGAAATAACTGGTTTTACTAGCATGATGATAATTGTTACAATTTTTTATTTTTCAATAATCTTTTCCTCTTTAACCCTCTATTGCGCGGCACATCAATAAATGATATAATTTAAAAAAAAATTATTAATAATATATTTACTCATTACTTATTACAAAATAAAGACATAAAATTTTATTATTTGATAAATAATATAATAAAATAAATTTATAAATTTTGAAATGATTTAAAACAATCGTTTTTAGAAATAAAACATAATGAAACACAACATTTGGTACAAATCACTTTAGCAAACAATTTATATCCAAGGTTCTTGAACCGCGTCTTTGAAATATATTAAATGAGCTATTATATCATATCTTAATACTTTCTGCGGAATAAGACTTGCCTCTCCCTTATGACATTTTTCTCTATTGGCTTCAATCGATACTCGTTTTGTAGGGTAAAGTTCATATTTTTTTTACACTTACAGAGTATCTTTGCTATTGAACTTTTAAAAGTTAATAACGGTATTTGTTCTTTTACTGGTAATTTAAAGCTACAAAATCTCGCCTATACATTAATCAAGAATTTATGAGCATCATATCAAGTGATAGTTTACGTATGTATTGTGTATTCGATATAAATCAATCAAAATCCCCTAAATCTACCCCCCCCCCATATTTTTATTGCAAACTTTTATAGCTGCTGGACACGGAATTAATTTTCCGTCGTTACTTTCTATTAAACCGTTCACAATCTCCAACATGGTAACAACCTGTATACGTACTTAGAATAATTACAAACCTATTATAATTCCATAATTCTACACCATTTATTGTTGCCTTCTTCCCTATAAAAAATCCACGTCCCATCTTTTTGAATTTTGTTTTGTTGGAATCTGGAAATTATAAATTCTATTAGCTTTCTCTGCAATAATACTATAAATTTTCTTTTGGGCGATAACTTGTTCTATACCACAGAACCAATTAATAAAACACAATCTAAAATATGAACGTAGTGGTACATTTACAATAGTTGAAATACCGCATTGCCCCAATATTTGGATATATCCATTTACTTGTTAAATTTTTCTCGTATATATTTTGAAATTGTAAACCAGCCCTTCCTTTATGACCTCATAATAGAAATGCTTCGAAGATTGTAAATTACGTATTTTAAAATTTTTGTATTGATAGCTCTCTTTCATTTTTGACAAAATTTGGTATGTGAATTGATGTGGGCAATAGAGGGTTAACCTATCTACCAAACAAAATAGAGCAATAAAATGGACTAATAGGTTTGGAAGTTTCAAAATTAGTGCAAAAAGCTTGGCTTACTTCACGCTCAAAGCGTAATGAGATAGTTTTCATTTTTTTTAATAACACTATTTTTTTTGTGGTTCTCTGAGGAATTGAAAGCACTAGTCGGGTACAAAATATTAACTTATAGTTTTTATAATTTCCATTTTAGCAATTTTCTTAATTCTTTATATTGTCTTTAATAAATATACAATTAGTACTAAACATTGATAAAATTTGGAGAATAAATGTTTTCAGTCGTTCCTTAATCTTAAGGTTGGTTAAAATTTTGTTACTACTAATTTTTTCTTTATAATGGCTACTATACTGGTTAAAGTTAGACACTAATAGAGCATAAAACATTGCCATTATTTTAGAAATAGTGCTTTAAATTGTTCAGCCAACTCAACAGATATAATAAATATAACCACAAAAAAATCAATAATATATAATAACTTTCTATAAGATTTTAACTCCCCCTCCCCCATTCACGCTTAAGTCATTGAAAATGAATTATAAAAAAATATTATTAATTGAAAAAAAATAATTATTTAAAATATAAATAAAATTGATTTAAATTGTGATTTTTGTTCAATAAAAATCATAAATTTAATCATGCCAATACTTGAATTTAATCATTATTTTGATATATGTATAAAAATTATGCTGAAATAAAGTTAGAACATTTCTATTGAAATTCATATTTTTTAATTCACATAAAAATTTTTTGTTAAATTTATGTTATTATTATTAATATAATATTATTGTACAAAAATTTAGTTTAGTATAAAAAAAGAGTTGAAATCAGAGGTATAACGAAAAAATAACCCCCCCCCCCCAAAAAAAAAAATCCTCTTGATATCTATAACCAGTATACCTATAAAAATTTGGCTTGTGCCTTCAAGATTGATGGGAAATCAGAATTTTATATTTCAAGGCTGCATAAATCTGTTTATGAAATCAAATTTAATTTTATCTTTATAAGAATTAATTTTAATAAAAATTAATTGACCTCATAAACAGATTTTAAAAATCGATCTGATGTGCCGGATAGGATCCCACTTGCATTTGTAATTTAAAACCTAAAAAAAAATGTAAACTTGCTAGATGAGGCACTTAAAGTGATATTTACTATTATAGTCAAAAGATCTTTTAATTATCTGTTATTTGATGCCCATATCAAATTTTTATCCCCCCATCCTCAGATCAAGTCTAACCCATTAAGACAAAGAGTGAATACTTTTATTGAATTAAAAAATATTTTAATTAGCCTTTATTTGATACCCATATCAAATTTTATTTTTACCCCCCCCCCCCCTAGATCAAGTTCAATCCTTTAAAACCAAAAGTGAATACTTCCAGTGAATATATATAACCACCGATATTTTGTATTGATTAAAATGTTACTAACTCTCTTTTTTTAGGCTAGCCCGGATTTCTTTTAAAAAAACTTTTGGCCCGGCCCGGCTCGGATTTTTTTTGAAAAATATTTTTCGACCCGGTCCGGGTTTTATATTTTCAAGCTTATAGTCCGCCCGGATTTTTTTTTAAAAAAAATTTATGGTTCGACACGGATTTTTTAAAAATAGATTTTATTTATCTATTTTTATAGCGAATAATGACGATTTAAAATAGGTTTGATATACAGCTCATCCCGGGTATTTTTTTAAAAAAATGTTTTTTTGGCCGGCCGTTGAAAAATTAAAATACGGTTGGGCTAGTGTACCCGGACCGGGCTTAGGGTTGGGCCCGCAGGTCTCTGATTTATATATAGATATTATTGTACCAAATTTAAACTTAGTAAAGAATAAAAAAGGGTAGAAATCAGAGGTATAAAGAAAAGATATACCCCCCCCCCCCTACAAAATTCCTCTTGGCCCCTTACCTATAAAAATTTGACTTGGACCTCCCTGTGCTTTGCAAGTCTGTTAGTCTCTGGTAGAAATGAAATATATAAATAATATTCATTTCCGTTCCCTTTCTTTAATTTTTTCCTCGTTTGTTGATCATGCTTAAATAAAAATAAGTTACACTTATTAAAAGAAACACCAAGCTCTAATACAAATTATTTTGCCAAATCAATAGGCATAACTTTTTTTCAGCCAATTAGATAATTTGGATTCAGATATTTATAAAATAATCGTTAAAAATATAAAATTTGACATTTAAACTTTTTATCCAGGAGCTCTGGATAGGTTTTGTTAGCATGCAGCTCTTGGCTAACCTGACAAGATTGACTGGCGTGAATTATTGGCCTGGTGATATGAGGTTCTTGAATTTGATTATTATTTTCGGCGTCGGAATGACGCTTGGAGTGTTTCTTGTTGAATTTCAAGCCCTTAAAAGCGTGCAAGGCAGGTTGATAAGGCAATTGGGATTGTTCAAGGGAAGATGGTTCGTTGCAGGGATAAAATGGTTTGATTGATTGTTTGTCTATAGATAATTATGAGGTAATATAATATTTATTGCGTATTTCGTTGAAATATACAATGTTCATTAAATCATATTTTTAAAGGTGCTTTATAATGAAAAGAATGACGCCGGACCAAATCAATTATTAAAAAATCGGGGAAGTGGCGTGGATTTTAGAAAAATGGTAATTAATTGCATTTTATATATTTATTATAAAAATTTTACAATCTTTTTGCAATATTCATTAGAATACTAAATTATGGGAACCTATTCCTTTAACAGAACATACGAATTTTAAATTTAACTATTGTTCCTTTTATTAAATATTTTTTTATAAAGTTTATATAATTATTTTTTAACATTTTTATAGATATTATATATAATAGTTTTAATAAATAAATCACAACGTTAATAATATTATTTTCAAGCGTGTACGCCGTGGTAGGGGGCAGAGGCACAAATCCCCTCTATTTAAATGCCGCTAAAATATTTTTTAAAAATTTTATTGATTCCTACATCTTATCGCATTCACGGATGAAATAAATACGTTACTAATTTATTCTATATATTAATTTCCTGCCAAATCATTTGAAACTTTTTCACTGCAAAATTAAATAAAAATATTTCAAAAAAATGTCATCGATTTGATTGAAACTATGAGAATAGCGGAAATCATATTGGAACTTAAGGAAATCGGAGCATATGCAGATGACGAATTTCGTAAATTATGTCAATGTTGAATCAAAAAGAGCTCCATGAATTTAATATTTATCTACGTCGACTTGCAGTAAGGAAAGCCCATCATTTCAATATTAATATAGGGTCACTAGAAGATATATAAAATCTCCTTACCCCTATTGGCAGAATTGTTAAAGTAGCGAGCTACTAGTATATAGACCTAACTGTTGGTACACGCATTCCACTAGATGTTGTAACAAGATGGAGAGTTTTTAAAATCTTTTTACAAAATTACCTTAGAAGTATAATCAGCTGCCAATTAAACTATTGGTTCTGCGGTATTATTCATAAATTGCATTGAAAATATCTTAAATCAATATATTACTGAAGATACTGTATTGAAAAATAAGGCGGAGGTGATGTTAAAAAAAATATGTAAAATATATTAAACATATAACATCAGTATCTAATTTTATATGAAGTATATTGGATCCTAAAACGAAGCAAATATTTTTACATAAATTCATAAATAAATCCGACGTTTTAATCAATTTAAAACTTTATATATGAAATATAACATCTCATTATCAAGTCGTCAGCCTCTGAAAGTGATATATTGGATATCGAGGCATTACCATATTCTGTAAGCATACATAATAGACTAAGAAAGTAATATGAATACATACATATATATATGTTTAATATATTTATTATTTAGGGCTGCGTTATAATTAAAGGATTCATTGATAGATGAAATATCGCTATTTTTAAAAAATGCAGCATCCATCAACAAATGTATTAGATTGATGGTTGAATAATAACAATATATATCCACATTTATCGTTAATGGCCAAAGATTTCTTAGCGCAACAAACTATGAGTGTTGCTAGCGAAAGGATTTTTAGCAAGGCAGTGGAATGATAACAAAAAAGAGAAGTAAAATGTCACCCACAACTCTAAAACATTGCGCATCCCTAAATTATTGGGAAGTTGATCTTGAATAAAACATATTTATTTTTTAAATAATGTATATCACGGTATTATTATAATGTAGCTTATTAATAAAGATTATGGAATTTAATATATTACAAAGGTATGTATTAAATATATCATAAAATATTATATTTAAATATTAGTAAATCACAATTATATAAAGTCATTAATTTTGCTGAATTTATTGATTGAGATCCAAGTTCCCTTTTCGCGTCAACGTTATGGTTGGGAGCAAAATGGCCTAAGTCTATTTTATGCATAGGATGTTCAATTACGGGGTTTCGATCATTAAGAGTATAAAGCTGAAATAGTTGCATTTTATTATGTTTATGGCTAACCTTTGACGTAGGTAGAATCCTTTGTTGGGATCCTTGGATCTAACAGAGATCCGTTTTCCCAGCTCTTTAAAGAAGGGCAGGGCATGAGAGCCGAACGATGTTAGAGTCGTGGCGATAAGTGGTAGGAATGATAGTAGTGATCTGCATCGGGCCTAATTTTTCAAGCCCGGCCCGAAATTTTTTTAAAAAAGTTTTGCCGGCCCGGCCCGAACCCGAAATTTTTTTTAAAAAATTACCGACTCGACCCGGCCCGAATTTATTTAAATATAGAAATTAATTTTTATAATTACTCAAAATAAAAGACATATATGTTATATGTAGTTTAGTTTCAATAAATAAAATCAAATATTTTTATTTTACATAAAAAATTCAATATAAAATTGATAAATTTCGATATATTTAAAAAAAATTTCCAAGGTCCGACCCGACTCGGCCAGAATTTTTTTAAAAATATTAGGCCCGGCCCGAACACGATTATTTAAAAAAATTAGGCCCGGGGCTGGACTTGGGCCGGGCCTAACTTTGCAGATCTCCAATGTATAGTTAGCAAGAAGCGATGGCAAATATTTAACGAGTTTATTCGTCTCAGCGTTTAGTATAGAATCTCTATTTATATTGGAAGGGGTAAGAGGATCGATGCATGAGAAATCTCAGGTTAGGAATTCCCCCCTTTTCCAAGGGATCATGGTAAAACCATCAGGCCGCTTACCATCGGAAATGTAAAGGCTAGTAGGTTTAAGAGTTGATGGGATGCCGGCAGATTTCGAGGCTCTGGCAAAAGTATCATTGCATTTTGAATGTCTAATAAATCTGCCTCTACAGCGCTTGCAGTGAAAAGAGTGCAGGCCTTTGGAGTTGACCGACGTTTAACAGAGGATACATTGATAGGGTATTACCATATCTCAATTAAGTCTAAGACCGATGGCGTGACTTAGCTCATCATTGCTTAGGAGCTGAGGTTTCAAGATGGGAAAGTCTCGAGAAATTTGTAACCGCTGTCTGCGGAAACGGAGAAGAGTAGAGAATGGTCCTCGGGTTGGCTCCTCGATTTAAGGTATACAACGGAGTTGCCAACTAGAGGCTTATCCCAGTCCTTCTGTAGTGCAGATATGGGAGGATCGACTAATGAGAGATTCCAAAGTACAATTGCCTGCAGGAGCAAGGGGCTAGAATGTTTTGTGAGTGTGTGTATGACTCAGGCGAGATGATATGAACGCACTAACAGAAAGTAGAGAAGGTGACCTTAGGCCAATACCACCGGATTTGGTTGGTAAGGTAGCCTGTAACCAAGATAGTCTCTAAATTTAAGATTGAGTATATCTTCTGTGACGCATTTAATCTCGAGTTCATGATGCAGCGAGGTTGACATCGTATTGAAAGATTCGTGACGATAGTGTATATAAAATTCTTGGGATTAGAAGGTAGTTCTTCAATAGGAAGAAAGCTTGGTGGGCTGGGAAGCGGGATAGTGTATCATGCATGAGGGATATCTCTCGTAAAATATCGGCGATGAACCTGATAAAGGACTCGTCTTTACCTACTGGAGATCCGAAATGTGTTAAAGCGTTCAATGGTGTATGATTGAACGTAGGATCGTGTTAAGGTCGATGATCCCAAGAGGACAATATTCTCTTTTGTCTTGATTAATTCGCAGTCCCAAACTACTCTCGCTGGATTTTATTATATGGATTGCCTTCATATCTTCAGTCGGTGGGCTGCCTAGTATAACATCGTCGATATACCAGTTATGAAGATTTAGCTTGCATTAGTTATTAATATCTCGTATTAGGCTATTAATGCACAGACAAAATAAAAATACACCTAGAGGGTCACCTTGTTGTATCCCATCGCAAGAAGGAATCAATTTATGTCCAAATTGAAGATGCGAGGGACTAGCATAACAATCGAAGATAAATTGTGAGTATTCTGGGTAGAGTTTGAGGATAGGATTTAGAAACGCTCTACGTCTTAGAGAGTTAAAGGCGTTCGAGAAGTCTATTTTTACTAGGATATCTTCGCTGGGGACCGTTTGTAAATATATCCGGTTCATGTGAAGGGATACCTCACATCCACCTTTTACGATGACCCCTAATTGATTCGGGCACAGGTGATTTAATATTGTATGCAATATTCTGCGCACTACAAGCTTGGCAGTTAATCGGCGCCAAGTAGTTCCAATAGCGATAGGGCGAATATCTTTATTAGGTTTATGGAAAGCGATGAGTTTAGCTCCGTGTAGGAGTGGAATAATGGCGGGTGGTATGTCTCCAGTAAGCATATGATTGATGAGTTGGGTATTTTCCAAAACATCACATTGTTGTGTGATAAGGTGCGGTTAGATCTTGTAGGAATATTGGGCGAAACCCATCAAACCCAGGTGAGGAATCGCGTTTGAAGGAGAGAATAGCCTTTCTAAAGTCGCTTATGGTATAGGTGGCCGCAATTAGAGGAGCTTCAAGGTAAGGTGATATTTTGTGCTTAAAATCTTGTGAGTGGTATTTTATGAGAGCCTGATAAGTTGCTTGATCGTAGGGAGCCAGCTTATTGTCAGGATGCCAGACGTATGGCGGATTTAACATTCAGATTATCTAGTTTTTTAGATATTAGCCTGGCCTTGGTGATCAGGTCATTTTTGTAATTTTTATCTGTGTCATCACGCTTAAAACATGTAGATATGTGATTGATAGGTAAGGGGTAGATAGTTGCATCCTTAATTTGCTGGGTCAGAGATTTATTGCTGGCAGAATCAGGAACTTGTAATGTAGTAAAGGCAAATGACAGGGTGTCTAGCCAGTGTTTTACAGAAGAAAAATTATTTAACAAGGAAACCAAGTTTTTCGACAGGTGTCTCGCAACTTGAAGCCTTGCTCCCTTAGGTATTCGTGAAATTATCAATGGTTTTGTTGTCGTTAGAAATATTTCTACATTTGTGGAGTAGACTGGATCAAACGTCGAAGCATTTGTGACAGTGGAGGTAGGGATTATTGGGCTAGTTAGCACATAAGCCAATGATGTGGAAATGGTGACTATGAGTTGTTTAGTTGTGAGGGCAAGGGCAAAGGAGGCATTAAGGGTTCGAGGAATAGCTGGTGATAAGATGGGTAGCCCAGATTGAGGACACTTTATTTTATGCTTATGATGAGATGGCAATAGCCCCATTTGATTACTTTAATAAGTTTATTACATAATGGACAATTATATTTGGTAGGAGCTGTGCTGAGGTCTGGTAGGTTGAATTGGAAATATTTACCAGATTGAAGGTGAATATCATTATTGTTAAAATTCACAATTGTGTTTATGGCTAAATGTATATATTGTTCTGTTAAAATTCATATAAGTAGAATGTGATGAAATTTATGTTGACAGTTACCATCAATTATGGTAAGCGGAAAATAATTCCTCGGAAAAAAATCCCCTGGAAAATAATTCCCCAGAAAAAAAATCCCAGGAAAAAATATCCTGTGGAAGATAATTCACCGGAAAAAAATCCTTGGAAAATAAATACCCAGAAAAATATTCCCCTGGAAAAAAATTCTCATAGAAAATACTTTCCCAGAAATAAATTCCCCATTTTTTAGATTTTAAATTAAATATGGGGGAAAATTAATCCCCGAAGAAAAGACCGGAAAAAATTCCCCGAATAATTTTTTTTAAATTATCAAAAAATAATCCTGCCGCTAAAATAACGAAAATATTTATAAAAAGTTATATTAGTATTTTCTGAACGTTGATAATTCCAAAAGGGCAATCTTTAAATGAGAATTGATAAATCGGTTGGTAGCTTTTATATTTTATAATTTAGTAGATAGCATAAAAAGTATAGATTTGTGACAATAGATTTTAGAGAAATATATGAAAATTATGAAAGAGGTTTTACAATTTAAAATTGAAAAGAAAATTGTGAAAGCAAATTTTTCCCTAGAAAGAGAAAGGTCTTGAATAGATATTATGAAAACAGGTAATTAAACCACATTATATTTACCATGAAGGGGGGGGGGGTTATTTCTAACACGCCACTAAGGTTAAAATATATATAACATTAAAATGAATATTATGACACTATTCTGTTCCGTTCGTTTATATCAGTTTGGATCCCGGACAAAAATAACATAATGGAAATTTTTTATGTTTAATACTATTGATTTTAAAAATTGTATTTGATTATAAATTTTCAAAAAAAGTATTGATCCTAATCACTGATTACAAAAGCTTATTTAATTCAAAGACATTTCAAGTAATTGAATCTACCAAAAAATATACTATTTATTCTATATAATATTTGTTTATTTTTATAAATATTATAATTTTTAATATATTTAGTTCATCAAAGAAAACACAGGAGGGACTATAATCTTAAAATAGAAACTTTATTTATTTGAAAGTTTCGAACTCTCAAAACCTTAAAAAACAGAACAAGATTTCTTTTAAAGAAAGATTTATTATCCAGCCATTACACTAACTGGGATTATGTAATAACATTTCCGGAGTTGGAAACTTTCAAATAAAAAAAGTTTCTATTTTAATATTATTATTTATAACGTTGAAAGGAAAGTTATGCTCAAGAATAAATAAATTTATATATTTGGGTGGTATATTCTTTGTAATTTTGAAACAAACGATTTTAATTTAGTTTTTTTATTACTTTTAATAAAATTTTATTTAACTTTAAACATTTTTGATAATTTTTTTGTTTATTCTTCCGTTAAATAAGCATGCTAAAATTTTTCATGAGGGCTATTCCTACATTTATCATAAAACTACGAAAATTTTTAAAAGATACAAATGTACATTAATTTTTTTTAATTCTATTTTCCTTTTCTGTTGTTTTTAGGAATATTTTAAACGGATTTTTTATGAGTGCCTCTAGTAATTAATGAAAATTGATAAAGACATAAATATTAAATAAAACCTATACAATAATTTTAATCTATAATTTTTCAAATTTTAGGTAGAGATATCATCATCCAAGGATGTTTTTATCATCTAACTCAATCCACTCATAGGAAGATTCAAGAATTGGGGTTAGAATTATCATATCGGAATGATCCAACGTTATGTTTATTTGCAGCTATGATCGATGGATTAGCATTCTTACTTATACACGATGTCAAACGAGGTATGGAGTATTTAAAAACCATTGTATAGAATGAAAACAAAGAATTATTTATTATTTTGATAAAAATTATGTGAATGGAGAATAGACATATGGGAGAAACTCTCAAAGACAAGTAGAGACATTGTTCCCACCTGAAACATGGAATGTGATCAACGTTACGATTGCTGGGGGAAATCGAACAAACAATGTATGTGAAGGATGGAATAATCGATTTCAGAATATTATAGGCCACAAAAAACCTAAGATATGGGAACTAATCGAAAAAATGAGGATGGAAATAGCCGTCGACATGGGTAAAATCGACCAATGCAGTATTGGGACTCCCAAAAAAATCGTCGTTATGCAACGAAACAAAATATTTAAAAAAATTTATGTATTGATTTTTTAGAAGAGAGAAGGGACTTGCCTAATTTTCTCTCTAAATTGGAGAACATATACGTTCTAGAATTGTTTCATTTGAATAATATAATTTATTATTCCATATATCATTTAATAAAATTATAATTATTTCTTTTCTGTAAATTTAAAAAAAATTCATAAGTAAATAATAATTGTTTCGAAAAATATAATACTCACTGTTGATAATCACCTCTAGATGTATTTTGATTAAAATGGTCAGCATTTCTCATTACTTTTGACAGTATTTAATTAAAATTGGCCAGTAAAAAATATAATTTTGCAAGTTTTATATTGATTTTGTATTCAGTCAGTTAAATTCTTAAAGTAGGTAAATACTTCAGTAAAATAATTTTTATCAAATAGAGGGGATCAGATTGAATTGCAAATTTCCTATTTTGCCACAGAATTTATAATTATATTAAGCTATCCTTATAAAAACAAAAAAGGGCGCTATTTAAGAGTTAGTAAATTGTGAAAAGTCTCCCATCTCCAACTGATATTTAAATTTTTAATATATTTCTAAAAAAATGATTAAAATTTGAGTAAAAATAATTTTTTTTTAAAAGTAAAAATTTGATTTTCAATAAATATCTTAAAGTTGATGAAAATGTGTAAAGGTGAACTAGATTTATTTAACTTTTGTTTTATAATTTAAAACCTCAAATCCTCGAAGGAATTTGACTTTAAAAAACACTTCTATTTAATTAAATAGTGCAGAGCAGATCCGGGTCAAAAAATGATATGAATTTATGCCGGGCCAAAATTTTTACGGGTAATTATTTTCCAAAGATTTTTTTTCCGGGGAATTATCTTCCAGGAGATTTTTTTCCGGGGAATTATTTTTAGGGATTTTTTTCCGAGGAATTATTTCCCGCTTACCATATGAGATTATGATATGAAAGAAAGATAGTTTCATAATGGGGTAATTGATCTATATCATTAATAACAGCAATATTGTATTGTGGGATTTGTGATGAAGATGGAGGAATACTATGGTGAGTGGAACCAGAGTGTGTATATTTGAACCTCTATATGCAATAGAGCAGTATAATATGCCTCAAGGAGGGCAAAGGCCTTTATATTTAACATTCGAGTTTGTGATCAATTTTGGGTGATGGTGTGATTTTATATTTCAAATTTATTTGATTGAAAAGATTTTTAAGAATATGATATTGAAATGATTTATAAGAATATGATATTAGATTAGAGTGAATAGAATGTTGTTTTAAGTTGTTTTTAACTGATTAATATATATTTTGAGCTTAATTGCTTAAAAAAATAAACAGCTATAATATTGGATATTTTTACACAAAAAAAGCGCAAATAATCTATATCTTTTTAATAAATAAAATTCAAATAATATTCGTTTATTTATAAAATAGCAATAAATTTATGTGTTGATTTTTTTATTGTCGTTTTAAGTTAGATATTTAACTCGTTATTACCTGATAAGTCTGATTTTAAAAATATTCTTAGATCAAAAATAAATTTTTAAATGAGAATTATCAGTTTTTGAATTTCATTATGAATTAATTTACTAAAATAATTTTAATATCCATTTTCATTAAAAATAAATTTTTTATTTTTACATTATAATTGAGGTTGCCTCGATAGTATTTAAATATTCATTTTTATTAAAAAAACACTGGAAAAGTTTTTAAAGGAGATTTATTAGAATTATATTTCGTTACTTTAGTAAAGGTGATGGACAACCTTGTAGCAATATTTATGCATTGATTGCTGGGAAATCGAACTTTTAAAATTATATTAAGTTAACTTTCTATATTTTTTGTATGAATGCGTATTTTTAATAATAATAAATTTCTATTATATGTGTACGTGTATTATTAACTAATAAATTGAATTAATTTAAATGTGTTTTCCTTTAATTTTTTTGTATATAAGTAAGGCAAAATAATACAAACATTAAGTATATGATTTATAAGAATGTGATAGAAAAGCATGAAGAGCAGGAATCAAAATATGTTTTTAGTAATCAAAATTTATATATATTACATTTTATCTAAAATCGAAGTATATATACATATATAAAGATAATAAAAAAATACAAATTAGAATAAAAAAATATAAATTGTATGAAATATTTGAAATTAAAAATTTCTTTTACAACATTGTCACAACAAAAGTAAAAATAATGATTTTAAAGAGACTACATATAAATTCTAACGACAATTGTGAAACAACAATTACCACTGTTTTGATGTAAATTTTAGCATTTAATAAAATTGAGAGTAGATTGTATAAATGCAACAAATAGCACAGGAAAAAAAATTAAAAAATTTTAAGAAATATTCGAAGATAAACTAGGTAGAATTAATGAAATGAAAATACACTTTAAAGAAGATACACCATCTATATCTATACAATCCAAATGCGTGCCTCTTCATTAAGAAAATTAGTGGATGAAGAAATACATCGGTTATAGAAGGATAAATACTATAAACTGTTGATGGGCAAAACCAACTTTTATAAGAAAGATGCTAGAGTAAGAATTTGTGGAGACTTTCGTTTAACTTTTTGATCAATATTTACTACATACGTGAAGACATTAGAAACAAATTAGCAGGTGGTTTTGCATGTTCACTACAATCCAAATAAGAACTCTAACAAAAGTGAGAATAATTTATATATATTGTTTAAATGTTCAAATTTTTTACAATTTAATTTTGAATACTAGAAGTTTGGAATCGAAACCAAAACCAATTTTTTTAAAAATATTCATATTCGAAACCCTTTTATGTCCAGGTTCCTTCTAGTTTTAAATAAGGACAACGCACAAGACAATCCATTAGTACAATTTTAAAATCTAATAGAAACTTTTGTATTTGATTTTGATGAATATAACAAGAAACATAGACTTGCTGAAAGAATAATTCTCCACATAGAAACCTCATTTTGAATGATTTAATGATAAAATCTGCTGGTATTCAAATGAATTTATAATTGCATTGATTGTAAATATATTTTCTCAGCTTTTTCCTGTCATAACACCACAACCTAATATTTCCTGGAAATTTAACAGATATTTTGGGATAATTTGAATAAGATTTTTTTATTACAAAAAGTGGAGAAAAGGGATGAGAAGGGAAGCTAGTCAACGGAGGCAAACCTGGAAAAGCATCATTAAACGATGATGAAGATATAAACAATACCAAAGATTTGAAGTAGCAAATGACCGTACATATAAAAACAAATTATGAACTTAGAGGGAAAATATTTTGTCAAAATATGACTAAAATCGTGATTATTTGAAAAATAAACAATATAAAATTGAGGAAAATTTCCCGAGTTAAATCCCTACGTTTTCCGTGCAAATTAAATAAAAAATTGATGAAGGGGAAAACGATTTAGCCAAATAATAGCAAAAAAGACGAAAATAAGCTGCGTTGTATAAATTTAAAAATAACTCAAGTTTAAAAATCCAAATTTTTAAAAGGTCTGTGCACAATAACATATTTTTTGCTTATTATGATATCTCATTATTTTGAGCACAATATAATTTATTTTTATAAATATAAGACTATTTACTTTTCATTTTTTGCAACCGATTAAATTTTTCGCTGATAAAACTTTCCTCATCTGCCTCTTGCTGCGAAAATACCCTATGCCCTTCTTCATATTGATTCGAACCGATTCCTAGTCTCTCAGCTATAACCATTCCATTTCCACTTTCCATTTCTCCGTGATCAGCATCAACATTGTCTTTATCCGAACTTGTATCGGATTCTTCCGAGCGGGATGAGACTGGGTCAGATTGATAAGTGTTTTTCATGTTGAGACGCTTGGAGCTGTTGGTGACGGATAAAGCAGGCAAAGGAGCCCGATGATCAAGAAATTGGGTCAAGAGTTTGCGTTTTTTGTCCTTTTTTCTGTGAGCAGTCAGGTCGTCACCTTGCAATCATGAATTATATAGTAGTTCATTAAAACTAATTATGAATAAAATAAGAAATACACGTTAACCAAAATATTTCATTTTTATAAATAAAAAATGATCAATATAAAAATATGAGTTGAGTCTAGCCTAGTTAAAAAAACCTTCAAAGATCCTATCTCTTTTGAAGATCAAAAAATGTTATGATTTTTTGTAAAATAAAATTTTGTACATGCTCAAAGAAGATTTTGAGCAAATTAAAAATATTTTTTGTAAAAAATCTTCTTTGATTTTCTCTTTAATGTTTTTTTAAAAAACAACTGGGAAATTTTATTGTATATTTTTGTAAGAAAAAACTTAGTTTGCTCATAGGAGATTTTTTCACAAAAACATTTTTCATTTTGCACAAAAATCTTCTTTGATCGTGCTCACAATTTTTTTTTACGTAGATCTTCAATTTTTTGATTTGATTCATTTAAGATGGAGTTACGATTTTTAAGGGTGGGGGAGTGGGATTCGCTCTCACCCTTATTTGCCCAGCCACGGTCCCTTTTATGAAAAATTTTAAGCAAGTATTTTTGATTTTTTGTGGAGATTTATATTTTGCTTTTTTAAAATATGTAAAAAAAAATCAACTCCTCATCCTTTCATCAGAGATAAGGGCGCAAAATAAAAATATGCATAATTACAAAAACTTGATATAATTAAGATAGAGCAATAATTAAAAATTCGAATATAGCTTAATAGAATTATAATAAAAATCAGTTTGCTTATTATGAAATGAAAATCCGGAAATGTAGATAGAGAAAAAAGGTATTTATTTTTCAATATATTTTATATTAGACAGTTTCATTATTAAAAATCAGTTTGCTTATTATGAAATGAAAATCCGAAAATGAAGATGGTAGAACATTCATCTAGGAATTAGGATGCTAAAGATTTATCTTGTGGCTAAAATTAAAAAATACATAATATTTAACGCAAAAAAAGACGAATCCTCATGAGTCATAACTTCTAGATCGATGTTCGATCGTCGGCCCATACTTGAATTTTGCACAAATCTAAAGCTGCCCTACCCTACTTTAATAAAATATAAATAAAAAAATCCCATTTTTATCTATTGATTATTTACAGATTTTAATAATAAGCTGATTTACATTTATTATGCATATTAAACTATTAAAGGTTATTTTCATTGATTTGGAATTTAATAAAGTGTCTCTTGTCAATTTTCCATATCTTCAAAAAGTAATTGGAGTTGGGATGTAATTTTCTTTTCTTATTTATACAAAATTTTAAAAAAATCTAAGGGGATCGAGTTACATCTTTGGTAAATTCTAAACTGTAATTTAATATATATTACAGAAACCCACAAGCCGGGCCTGGAGCCCTGCTTGAAAAATGGTAGAATTTAAATAATCTAATTTTTTTAAATATAATAAATAATTAATATTATTTGGCTCAGAATTAAAATAATTTAACGCTAATATATTTTATTAAATTTCATAGAAAATATACTAAATCGTTCAGTAATTTCAATGTTTTATTTATAAGTATATTTAAATTTTTTAATCTACTTTACATTATTTATGATTTTTTGAATGGTACAAAATTAATCAAGGAATGTAACACAGGGTAATTTCACGGGAAACTTTGTAATGAAATAAAAATTAAGTGAAAATGACAAAAAAGAGTGATCAAAAATGAGAAGAAGAAAAAATTAAAAACTTTTTTTCATTTTTTGATTGACATTTTTTCTTTTTTGGAATTTTCCTTTTTTGATTGACACTTTTCCTTTTTTGATTGGACCTTTTCTCTTTTTGTTAGACACTTTTCCTATTTTGACCGGGCCTTTCCCTTTTTTGATAGGACCTTTTCCTTTTATGATAGAACCTTTTCCTTTTATGATTGACATGTTTCCTTTTTTGAATGAGAAACCATGTATATCAAACTTGTTTAAATAATATATTAATACTCTAAAATTGAACAGTAAAACATTTTTCCATTGTTTCTCTATTTTCCCGGAAATAACCCTTACAAAGTTTCCCGGGAAATTTATATCCTTAATCATCACTCTAAGTCCTGTGTCTAGCTCATGGGGGGGGGGGGGGGGGGTAAAATCTTTTTATAAAAATACTCGACAAGGGTATTAAATAAAAGATAATCAAAAATATTTTTTGAATTCTATAAAACTTAACGTTTCTAGGTCATGGAGTGTTAAATAATTTATTAAATATCTCGACAAGAGTATCAAATGAAAGCTATTAAAAAGATTTTTAATTCATCGTTACCAGGGTGAATTGCGTGGAGGGGGAGGGGTATTCAAAAATAATATTGACATTATAGGGGAAATGTGCCATGACTGCCGGTCCAATTTTTTAAGCATGCACTCTTTTCTAGGGTGATTTGTACCCTTTTTAAAAAAAAATTTTTCCCTCAGTTCTTTTATATATATTTTTTTTTAAATTCATTTTTATATATGCTTATTTGTTTTTTAATATATATATATTTTTAATTATAATTTGTAAAAGAATAATTTGTGAAAATTTGTTTTTTAAATAAAGTATTTACCTTAATAAAATAAATGATTGTTTTAATTGTTATTCGCCCTTATGTTTTCAGCATAAGTCTGGGGGAAAGAGGATAAAAATTTTAATATCTAGATATAGTTTAATAAAAAAGTTTTTAGACATTTTTTGCTAATCACCCACAAAGCTATAATAAATCATGTGTGGGTAAAACAGATTTTAAAAAAAAACTATTAATAAATTTTTTTGGCATGGATCTCAACGGAAGGAAGTAAAATAAAAGTTCTTTAATTGCTTTATCGGTCTGGGTACAATATCAGACTTCTACACACCCCTAAGCTTATGCCGATATTAACCCTCAAAAATTTTACTCCTATACCCTCCAAATTTTTATCACCTATCCTCATAAAAATTTACTCAGCCCCACTCCCTGCTACCAAATCAAAAATATTTAAAAAGGAAATCCAAATCAAAACTATTTTCCTACCCTCTTCCAATTTTATTTAATAAAGAGAGCATAATAATAACTACCTACTATCCTCCAATTTCAATAATCTAGCGTCATAACCCCCCCCCCCCCACACACACCATAGAAGTCCCTGAGTGGGGTTATAATACAATATTTTGATATGGGTCTTAAATTAAAACGACCACGAGTTAAAATAAACAAAAATTCTTTTTATCTTTTAATGAATGTATCTAGCAATCATAATAAAATTTGTGAAAAAAGGAAAAATTTCATGGTATATTTAGTATTATTTTAAGAAACAGTTTTATATCTGAGCATTTGTTTATTTGCACACATTCAATATTTTTTATGAGCGTTCTAGGATTTCTTTCTTCTAAATATTCATTCAGTTTAATTCTGAGCGAAAAAATATGAGCATCTTCATTATCACTCGAAAATCATTAAATTTGCTACATTTTCAAATAATTTCTTTTACAGAATACAGCTAATATTATTTAAAATTACGAAATTAGAAAAACTAAAACCTGACCTCTTAAGATATGTTGTATTATATTAATATATATTGTTAATAAACTTTCAATATCCTTTTTAGCGATGTTGTGGGAATCTTCCTTCTTCTCAAATTCTTCTTTTACCTGATAAAAATTTATATTAATATTATAAAAAAAAGTAAAATTGATTTTTCTTAGCTATAATTTTCGAATGTTAATATTTGTATTTTTTTTTAAAAAAAAATAAGTGATTCATGCTGCTCGAATTCCGTGTCCTGGTTACGTCTTATTTTTTTTAAATGATCACATGAATACAGATTTAATTATTATCGACTTCAGGAATTCTTACAATATTCTCCACGGGAAACACCTCCACATAGAGTTCACCAAATATTAACTAAACTGTTACTTAATTAGCTACTACCAAGATCCTTCCCTTCTTCAATTTTGGTACCAAACTACCTCAACTGCTAAAGGCATTCAACTAGGAGACCCTCTAGGTTAATTTTTATTTTGTTAAGGTCTGAATAGTATTATTGAAAAAATTAAAAGCTACTGCAAGCTTGATCTCCATATTTGGTACATCGATGACGGTATAATAAGTTGATTCACATGTGGGGATCGCGAAGGCTTACAGCATAATAAAAAAATGCAGAAGTCTTTATTGGTCTTAGGTTAAACAAAACCTTATTCTGCCCCTTACATTCGAACGTTGAAAATAATTATTAAGAATATCATACAAGATTAAATCTCCCATCTAGGATCTTCTATCTGTAGTGTGGGAGTGATCCAACAATTTTCTAAAACTCAATTATCCTCAAAAACTTGGATGAACTCTATATTCCCTTTCTGCTCACTAGGTGCATTTCCTAATAAAAAAACTTTTTAAACCTTCCCAAAATTCTTTATGTTTTAAAATCTAATATTATATTCAAATTTACCAGATAACTCGAAACTAAGGAGTTAAAAAAGACTTCGTTTTAATGATCATAGCCATTCCATACCTCCAATGGAGGAGTCAAAATTCGGTCTCCAATCGTTATTTCTTTCTAGGCTTGCGAATAATGATATCCTTGCCTCTCATTTTTCAACACTGTTTACTAGAAGAGGCTGTTTCCTTATGGGGCAAAAAAACGTAATCTGACACTCCTCTTCTCAATTTAACCAAGCAGAGATTGTGATACCCTATGATTGCAGATACCGCTGATTATCTTTGCATCAACTTGGAATCTGTCATTCCTCTTTGCTGTCTGAACATAGGTTCAGATGATGAATTTTTGGAGGCAATTCCTTCTAAAAACTTAGGCCTTAATCTCACTAATCAGGAATTCAGTTTTACGCTAGCTATTTATTTCAACGTCTACTCGTCACAAACAGGCGGATTCAGACAGTTAATGCCTTCAATGCAAGAAGTAGCGGGCTAGCTCCCCAGCATACTCTATGCAATTCACTTATCAAGCATGCTTTAAATTCAGCTAGAATTCCTTTGACGACAAAACCTATCGGTTTGTTTCTTGACGATAGAAGACTAGATGGAATGACTAGGCTATTTTGGGAAGATGGCAAGTCAAATAAACAGAGGAACTAAAAGATTTTATATTTGTCAAAGACTTGCAATCCAGTTCATTAAATCAAATTTCCATTGCCTTATTAACTCATTCCCTTTTCGATTTTGTTTCAATTGTAACATAATGTCACTTAATTTTTTATAATAATTATATATATACATTCTTATTTTGTATAAGTGTATGCATACATAGATAATTTTACTAATGATTCTGACAAATTATAATTTATTATCATCATAGTATAACTACTATATTTTGAAATAATAATGTATAATCTAAATATCAAATTTTTTTTAAAAAAAGATATTTTTTTACTTTCTTTAAATTTTTTTAATTCGCATTTCTTTTTACCTTAGAGCAAACACCTTAATTAAAGTGAGTGACATACGTTAGAGATGGCGCTATCGAAAAAGATTTTAATGCGATGTGCTGTAGCCTTACGTTGTTCTTCTCCTAGTCCTGCCTGATTTTGTTGAGATGAAATCTGTACCGTTTCCCTATCCTTTTCATCCTCGTACAGGTCAGAAATGATGGGCAAGATAGAGGGCTGATGTCGATCCGGTATTATTATTCCTTTTAAGGTGGTTTTCAAAATTTTAAATTTATATAAAATCCACAATTATATTTAAATTATAAAATAAAACTTTAAGAAAGATTCAAAAGAATCTAACGATTCGTAAAATATTTTTAAATAGGCATTATGTTTTTTAAGAGTTAACTATTATCTATGGTTATAACATGATTTATTTAGACTAATACTAAAATCGAATAATTAAATCCAAATTATAATTTAAATATTAAGTAAAAACAATATATTAAAAGTGGTATGTTACCATGGCTAGACGAGCCATGAGGTACAGGTGTGAGGGGAGGCAAGGAGGGCTTTATGCTGGGCATGTCAGCCATGATAGAGGTTCGCATAAGTTCAATCCTCTCGAGCGATATGGGATGACCTGATACTTTCTTGTGTTTGTCCTTTTCCTCTTTGTCCTTGTTTAATTCTTTCCATTCTTTCATGAGTTTTTTGCCGAGACCGGCAACACCACCCGCATCCTTAGATGTTTCGTCTGCGCTATTTGCTTTAGAAATATCACGGTCCGATTCGAATGGAAACGGCTTGAGTTCCGAATCAGAATCGCTGTTGCTAGGATGGATACGACAGGCCGCTTTTGTGTGAGAAGGGTAAAAGGTAAAATAAGTTGAGGTTTCAATATTGAAGAAAAGAGTAATTACCCCAATTCACTGATATTCGCTCTTAGCTAAAAATAAAAATTTTTAAAAACGATGAGGATATACTCAATCTCAAATTCGGAGACCTATCTTGGCTACAAGCTACCTTGCCAACCAAATCCGGCGGCATTGGCATACGATCGCCTTCCCTACTCTCTGTTAGTGCGTTCATATCCTCTCGCCTGTCCTGCGAGCCCATCATACACGCACTCACAAAACATCCTGACCCTTTACTTCCCCAGGCAATTGATCTATAGAAATCTCTTTCATTAGTCGATCCTCCCTCATCGACACTGCAGAAGGACTGGGATAAGCCTCTAGTTGGCAACTCCGTTGCATACCTTAAATCGAGGAGCCAACCCGAGGACCATTCTCTACTCTTCTCCATTTCCGCAGACAGCGGGTATGAATTTCTCGAAGCTTTTCCATCGCGAAACCTTGACCAGCTCCTAAGCAATGATGAGCTACGTCACGCCATCGGTCTTAGATTTAATTGTGATATGGTAATACCCTATCACTGCATCCTTTGTCAAACGCCGGTCAACTCCAAAGGCCGTCACTCTTTACACTGCAAGCGCTGTAGAGGCAGATTCATTAGACATTCAAAATGCAATTATACTATTGCCAGGGCCCTAAAATCTGCCGGTATCCCATCAACCCTAGAACCCACTGGACTCTACAATTCTGATGGTAAGCGTCCCGATGGCTCTACCATGATCCCTTGGAAGAGGGGGGAATTTCTAACCTGAGATTTCTCATGCATCGATCCCCTTGCCCCTTCCAATATAAATAGAGATGCTCTAGTAGACGCCGAGACGAATAAACTCGCTAAATATTCGCCATCGCTTCCGGCCAATTACACATTCCTACCACTAATCGCCACGACTCTAACATCGTTCGGCTCTCACGCCCTTGCCTTCTTTAAAGAGCTGGGGAAACGGATCTCTACTAGGACCGAAGATCCCAACGAGGGTTACTACCTAAGCCAAAGATTAGCCCTTAATATAATAAAATCCAATTACCTCAGCTTCATATTCTCAATGACTGATACCCCCTAATTACTTACAATTTATATCTAAATTTTATTCATTAATTAATATTGAATTTATGATTTTATTTTTATATTTAATATTACATAAATTACTAATATCTTATTTTATTTAAAAAAAAAAAATTTATAAAATAAGATATAATATAAATAATATAAAAATAAAATATATTTAAAAAAAGAAATAAGAATATATTTAAAATATAATAAAAAATATGTTTAAAAAAATGTAAGAAAGTGCCTCTGGGTAAGGGATCAGTGGATTGATATACAATGTGCTACATATTTCAAATGAAATCCGTTGCAGTATGTAAAAACTTTCCTGAGGATCACCCCAAATAAGCGCATTTTGGCGGATTGCTTTGAAGAAATTCAAGGCTGAATCCGAAGGCCACGATTGTGTCGGAAATGGGGATTTAAGTGATATTAGAAATGTTAAATATTTAAATTTTTCTAATTCCCGATCTAGACAAAGGATTGGAGCTGAAGAATGGTGTAAAACGACCAATGCATAAGTAATCCCAGACTAACAAATTTGAACTTATAAGAGAGTTTGAATATATAAGAAAATTGCATAACCATTTTTTGGAATGTCTCCTATGAAACAGAATTGTGGTAAAAGAAACAAAATACTAGGTTACAAAGGTATCCATTTTTATGCACATTTGAATTGGTATATAATTTATATTTTAGAAAAATATTCCCGCACAAAATACCAATCAACAAAAACAAAAAATCACATAAAAATATACTTCCAAAATCAAATTAACCAAGTTTAAGTTTTTAATCATCATTTCAAAGCATGTTTTGGTCAATCTTGCTGGCCTCTAATTTTATATATTAAACAAGTTTAATTTTTTAAATCATCATTTTATGTTCTTTGGTCAAGGCAGATTCGAGAATTGCTGACATAAGGGTAAAGTTAACATATCAATCAGATATATCCCATATTTTACAAGATCTATTATAATCGTAGTAACAATGAATATCATTCAAACTTCATGAAACATATCCGTTCTTATAATAGTGCTTGCGTTTGCATTGATGGGTGCATGGATTTATAATAGTTTGAACCCTGCATATTGTTTTAGTTTTTGGCTATCAGCTGGTTTATTATAATATCTTTTTACTTATAAAATATGCAATGAAATAAAAATAAATTTTAATAAATATAAACCTGTTCTGTTCATTTCGCCTTAAAAATATTTCAAATTCACCCGTACACCCATTATTTTAAAAATATTTTTAACCAGCCCGATTTTAACATTATTTACCTGTGAGTTACAGGCCTCGGCGGATATGAATGAAATGTTGTAGTATATAATATTGATTAAGAGTCCTGGATAACTTGAAAAGCATAATATAAAAATAATTAAAGAATTTCACACCATATTTTATACAAGTTTATAATACTTTTCAAGTTTTTATCCAAGATTCGCAAATTTTTTTAAATAAGATAAACAATGGAAAGGGGTATGGGGATTAATAAATAAAGTTAAGAAAGAATTATCTGTAGGGGAGAGAAAAACAAATAGATATATTATATAAAAATTGTAACCTTGATGATTAGCAGCGGTGGTGATATGTGGTGGGGTGGATGCTTGCATTTCCTTCAGCTTGTTCTTGACTTGATCTAGTTTTCGCTTGATTTTGGCGTTGGTAGCAGCCGGACCAGTTTGGTTAGCTGGTAACTGAATGGTGGCAGCGCGAATACTATGGCTGAATGAAGATCGCTTTGATTCGGTCCCAGGTAGTCCGGAATAAGTTGGCTCACCACCTTGATTTTGCATAGAAAAAGCTTTAGCCCAATACTTAGCCGCTCCTGTTTTTAATGATTTTTTTAATATAAATAAGCGTTATTTTTCAAAATTTAATATGTTATTTAGGCTACCCTGTTTTACTGAAGGTCTATTTTAATTGATAGTATTGTCCTGAGCTTTAATTTGATAATTTTTTTTCATAGTGAAAAATTTTCTAAAAAAAATTTGTTCTGAAAGATTTTTTTGCATAAAAATCACAAAAGTTTAATTTTTTAAAAAAATTTTAAAATATATATCAAAAATAACATAATATATAAAATTGGCTCAAATCGAGCTGTTTGACAACACCACTATAAATTATTGTTAGCATTTTGTTGCTATATACATACTTTTCTTATCGGTAATCATTTATTATCAATGTATATTTTCAGTTTTTAATTCTCTAATATAAAGTAGTTAAGTGTTAATTTGATATTGTATGATTTGATTTAAAATCTTAAATAATAAAAGTCGTGTCTCATTTTGTGAAAAAGTGTCAATATCCAGAGTTACAACTGAATATTAGTCGCAGATACTAAACACTGAGCCCTTACGGTTCTTATGAAATGCCTATTTTTTTTATTTTTTTATATTCTGTTTCAAGTTTATTTATAATTGTGTTTTACTATCTACCTGTATTTTCAAATTTTTCTTACATCAATGGATCTAAATGAGGTATATTTATTTTCAAATTGTTTTTCTTTTACTATTGTATTTTTAGATTAATAACTATTAAAAGAAATAACCACAACACATTCTTATAAGGTATAATATAAATATAATATTATGAATAATTCTTTTTATCCCTTTTAGGGCACTCAGGGAAATAAAAACATATTTACAATGAAGTAAAAATTAAAAATATATTTGAACTTTATTCCTAATTATAGATGAAAATTGGGAAAAGACATAAGTAGGAAATACCATAAAAATATTCCCGACATAATCTTTTATAAAGGTATTATATATTTTTATAAATTTTGATTTATACCTTGACATTCAGAGAAAATAAATTCAAGCCTTCGACTATTTTATTTGGGCAATAGGAAATTCCTACAACATATACCGGACTCCTTAGTTTTGGAAATACCTGATTTATACTTTTTTGGTAAAATTTTATTATATTATTTTCTTTTTTATATGGCTACAAATGCGAGCGTGTTGAAAACTGTGCTTATTATATTTTTATCGTTTCTATTTTTTCATTTCTTCCTTCTTTTCCTTCTATGCTCTACTAAAATCCACTGTCCACCTTCAAGCGATGAGGATGGGGGAGAGGATGGGGTAAATAGCAATCCTGACTAACGGCTGTTGTTTTGATAATTCCAAGAGGTGTTAATGTGGCACATAGTTTCGGTGAAAATTTTTTTGAATTATTGGATTTTTTGTGTTATTTCAGGAATCGAAACAAGGTCCTTTTTTGATGTCCTGTATAGATAATGAAAAAATGCAAGAATAAGTTTTTATAGGTCATAAATTACAACTATATATATGTATAAATATTTGGTTGAAAAGATTCTTTATTGTGCATATAAAATAGTTTTTTAGATATTATGAAATCGACGAAGAATGAAAAGTGAATCAGAATTTTCTCCTTTATTATTTGATAATTCATAAATTTTCCTATTGAGGTGTGAATCAGACATTTACCTTTATTTTGATGAAAGGTTATTCCGAAATTTTTAATTATTTTTATAAAATATGTTAAATATGTAATTAGTACCTTCAATATGAACAAATAATTGTAACATAAATATATAATATACTATTTTTAATATATCGATTTCATAATACCTGAAAAAATTGTATGTGGACAATAAAAAATATTTCCAACGAAATTTTTATACATTTGGTATTTGTAATTTAAGACATAAAAAATTTATTCTTGCTAGGTGAGAGTTGTGCATTACTTATTTTCGATTAAATTCTGACGATTGAGAATAATATCACTAGATGAAATTGACGCAGTAGAAAGTTATTTAAAAAATATGTTGGATATAATTTATATCCAAGAATATAGACATGGATAAAAATCTACTGTCTCCTATTTTCTCAAAAGCAAAGAGATTACACTTAAATTAAATTATAAATAGCCATTTAACAATTAATAAAAATCCTTATCTATTAAATCAAATGTTTAAAATAAATAACATCCATGTCAAAATTGAATTACAACAGATGGGCTTGTTTATTGGTTTTATTTTTTATAGTTGAGAAAATATTACCTGGATATCCTAACTTTGGTGAAAAAAAAACGAGAAAAAAGTTACCAAAGTTATCAAGATTTTCCAGCAACTAGCACTCCTGAATGAGGATCTAAAACATTGCTGGAGGGTTTTTAGAGCAAAGAGGAACATGTTTAAATCCAGAAAATGTGGACTCATTGTATGTTAAAAATAATATTTTAATTAATTTGAATAATAATAATAAAAATATAATACAAATTTTAAATTATAATATTAATTAAAATAATTTATAATAATTCGAATAACCTTTTATAAAATATATCTCATTTTCTACTCTTACTTATTTCATTTTATTTTATATAATAACATTCAAATTTATATTCTAAGATAATAACTATATAACGTTGAAATTTTAGATATATAAAAATAATTTTAATAGTTTTCTTAATCTTAGCTAGCTATCATGTGTTTCTAATATTTACATTATAATTATAAATAATATTAATTATATATTCCTCTTAATTATTTTATTTCATATTTTATCGATTAAATAAATTCCTTAGTGACATTCGTAATATTTGATTGAATATTATTTTATTATCTATTATATTCCCAAATTATAAAATATTTCTGATGGCATATCTTAATCAGGTGCATAAAAAGGAGGGGGCGATTTAAAATTTTATATGGGCTATTTGAGTTTAAAAAAATTTTAATAATTGGCGGGTGGGTGAAAGATATTGAATCAAATGGGCGAGAGGGTATATATTTTTTTAAAACCATGGATGGGCAGGCTAACATACAATTAAAATAACGAGCGGGATTGACCAATTGATATGAAATTTTTTTCTTGTCTTTATTAGTAATTTAATGAGGGTGTTACCTTGGGGCAAAAAAGAGCTGAGAGCATTTATGGGATGTTGAGATGTTTCGTACGTGCTCACGTGATCTGGCGCCAAATGTGGCTGATGAGGGTGAGGCAAGAAAACATCTTTTAAGCGGTTAGCAGTCGATTGAGATTTGGATACAAGCTATATTAAGGGGGGGGGGGGTGGATTTATAGTAATCATGAAAGAATGTAAAATTTAATATACCAAATAGATTCTATAATTTTATGTAAAAAAATCAATGTCGTATTATAACAGGGGTTGGTAGCTAATACTTAAAAAGTTGATTGCCATTAATGATCACTAAGCTTTAGATGGACATTTTTGTGTATGAAAAATGTAACCTTAACACGAAAGGGATACATACCTGTGTTTCTATCAGAGTTGTTATAAGATACATTTTAAATGGATCTAGATACAGATACATCGTCTAAAAATTTATCTAGATACAGATACAGCTTCCAAAAAGTTATCTTGATACAGATACAATTTTAAATGTATCTAGATACAGATATTTTTATTATACTCTTAGATAAGGTTGGAATAAACCTAAATTAGGATTCTATTGCGAAAATTATAAAATGAGCTAAATATTTATTGACTCGATATCACATTTATTATAACTAAAATAATGATTTTTAGATATTAATATAATAATTTGTTCGTAATTAAATTATAATACAAATTTAAATGTTAGCTACCAGTGATAACACTCTAACAATCTGCTGTTGTGCGTGTTAGTGATGGTTCTATTAGACTTTTTATGATTTCTTTCTTTTCATTTTCCCATCTTTGGGAAAATCTAGCAACCACTGTCTGTCGGCAAATTATATTTTTTTTGTGAAGCTAATGTATTGATCATTTTTATAAATGAAAAATTTCCAACAATTGAAAATGGCTGAATGCTATATTAAATCATCTAAAGTGGTTTGGGTTAAAGTCTGAGGTCTCTTGGAAAAATATCAATGGACGATGAACCTAGTCCAATATTTTCTTTAATAGATTTCTTTTCCTTCCCCTTTTTTATTTTGATTAAGAGTGTTTGATGTTTTCTTTTAAAATTTAAAATTACAATTGTAAACATTTATTTAGTCTGAATTCCATATCAAATCCAAAAAAAGTCGATTTTCAACCCAACCCCCTTCAATTTTTCTTAAATTTTGTATACTGGTAGTATATACTATAACTAAGGAAAAAATGAAATTTTACCTTCCAAAACTGTTTACCTAATAAGATATGGCCGTTTAAAGCGCGGAAAAATGGTACATTTTTGACAAAATGCACCTCATTTATTTTCAAATATCTCGAGAAATAATTGTTAGAATAATAATTTAAATTTTATTTTGTAGCTCAATAAAAGTTCTTTAAAATGACATAAAAATAAATATGATGGACATTTTATTAATATCGAAAACCAGATGTGTAAAACCGGAAATGGCCATAGAAATAAAAGGTATTTTTTTTCAAATTTTTTTTTCTGTAGATAGATATCACACTGCTTTATATTTGTACAAAATCCTAGACTGGGATGAACAAGGGTTTAGGAGTTATCACTCTTTATATGGTTAAATTTAACATTAATATCATCATATTTTAATTTAATGAATAGTTATGAAATAATGTTAATTTAAAAATTATGTCTAAATGATAGGCCCTTACGTGGCTGGGATAATGAGCTGTTTAAAACTTTAGTTAAATTTTATCTCGAAATTAAAATTACTTTACAAAATAATTTTAAATATTTTATTTAGCATATAATAATCTATCAAAATTGAAATTCAACAATAAATTTTTCCTCATATATTCAAAATTAAAATAAAGGCTTAATATATTATTTGATGAGAATTCTATAGATAAAAAAACATTCAAACAATGGATAGCAGTTGATCGAACTACCCTCAAAACACTGACGAATTTGTAGATTATTTAATTGAATAATTAAACAATTTAATTCCTTATTTGTTTATAGCTTCACGATAATCATTAATTCGAAACTTTTTAAGATTCAATTTAAATGTTGGCGAATTCTTAGTTATTGCAGACATTTCAGAAAAATATGCATTTGTAGTGCACATGCACAAGGATTTAATCAGACCAATAATCAAGCCACTATCAACTCTTTTATAATTTATTACCGTGAGAACAATATAATAAAACATGTAATTAGTGGTTATATCAGATTGTTTAAAGCATAACGCATGTGCATTTTATTTATTTTAAAAATTGATCGTATTCTTGAAGGAAAGATTTAATAGAGTGGCTAAAATTTATTATTTTTCTGATGGAGCAGTAACCAATATAAAAATAAAAGATTTCATTAATCTCTACAATCATGAAAATGATTTTGGGATAAAGGCTGAGTGACATTTTTTGAAACCGCACAAGGTAAAAGTCCATGCGACATTTTGGGGGCTGTTACTAAACGGTTAGCAGCTCGAGCAAGCTTGCAACGTCTATATGAACATCACATATTGACAACAATAGATTTATTTAACTATGCAAGAAATAATATCTATGGGGTAAATTATATATTTGTGAGCAATAATGAATATATGAACATTGAAAGTCATAGCAGATTTTGAGAGCAAAGAGAATTTCTGGAACACAAAGTTCCAAGGATTTATTCCCCTAGATGAAAACAAAAGTAATAATTTATTAAAATTCCTTGGAAGATTATAATATATGATATATTTTAATTATAAATTTTTGATTGTATTATATGTAATGCAATTTGAGGTAAATAAAGTTATAAATATGTTTAGAATTATTTTGTCAAGTAACTTCGAGACAAAATTAAACTAAAGTGTTAAACAAAGCTCATTATTCCAGCCACTTCTCAAAGATTTTGATAAAGATTTTAAAAAAAGTAAGGGCCTGTCATTTAGACATAATTTTTAAATTAACATTATTTCATAACTATTCATTAAATTAAAATATGATGATATTGTTAAATTTGTTCAATTTTAGCCATATAAAGAGTGATAACTCCTAAACTCATATTCATCCCAGTTTAGGATTTTGTACAAATATAAAGCAGTGTGATATCTATCTACAGAATTTTTTTTAAAAAATACCTTTTTTTCTATGGCCGTTTCCGGTTTTACACATCCGGTTTTCGATATTAATCAAATGTCTATCATATTTATTTTTATGTGATTTTAAAGTACTTTTATTAAGGTACAAAATAAAATTTAAATTATTTTTTGAGATATTTGAAAATAAATGAGGTGCGTTTTGTCAAAAATGTACCATTTTTCCGCGCTTTAAACGGCCATATCTTAGCGGGTAAACAGTGTTGGAAGGTAAAATTTCATTTTTGTATATACTATCAGTATACAAAATTTAAGAAAAATTGAAGGGGGTCGGGTTAAAACTTTGGTTGATTTGATATGGAATTCACCATATATACCCTTAAATGTTTTACAATTTTGCAAGTTGAGGTAATGCTAACTGAGATTTGTGTATTTTTTGGTAAACATGGCAAACATTTTACTATATTTTGAGATATTATTTTAAAATATGGTCTATAAATTGGTTATGGAAGAATGTCGTCATTGATTATATCATCGGCTTCATTAATAATCTAGAAATAATAAAATAAAATATCAATATATTTTTATATATAAGTATTAATATTATATATATATAATTTTTTATTATAGTAGTCTTAATAATTTTTTAATATATATTAATATTAAGTTATATGCTCATATGAAATAAAATAAATTTTGCATTCAAGTATTTTTATTTATAATATAAAAAAGTGTTAAATAAAAGTATATCAAAATGAATCTTAAAAAGTATCTAAAAACAGATACGGATACCTCTTAAAAATATATCTAGATACAGATACTTTAATCAAAAATCTATCTAGATACAGATAACCCATTATATATAGATACTTTAACAACTCTGGTTTCTATTATAATAAATATCTTACAGCAGTTATTATTTGAGAACAAAGACAGACCGGGGCGAAAAATGATATCAAGAGACTGGACCAAGCAAACCCTCCATTTAGCTCTGGGATTAAAAAAAACAAAACAAAAATCAAGAACTATTAAAAATTTTGTCTTGATTTTAGTTTTTCTTTGTTTATTTGATTCTTTCTTTTCCTACATCTTTATTATTTTTGGAGTTTATTTATTAACTTTAATAAATAAATTTAAAAATTAATTCTAATTCAAAAAATGAGTTGACATTTGATTTTCTTATTTTCTGTTTTGCTTATTGCTGTTTGTTTTTTAAAAAAAATGTACTTTTATATAATTTTACTTTAGGTTTCTTTTAAAGATTGCATATTTTATTATTACTTTTTACTTTTGATATTATTAAAGTGTACCTTTGTCTTATTTTTTCCACAAGTCATACTACCATTAAGTGGTCACTTTATGAAGGTTGCGTTTTGGTAAATATAATTTTATAGGCATCTTATACAGCAAACAACTTAAGTGATCAAGAAAACAAGGAGAAGTGGTTATCATTATCAGAGCTGTGAATCCTAGCTTCGAGATGAATTTACTGAGCCTAAGCCCTTAATAAATTTAAGGTTTCGGGTTCATGAATGATTTTCTATTCATTTATAAATGTAGTCTTTATTTATTAATTTAAAAAATAACATATACAAAAACTATTAAATTTAATATTTTATTGGTGGAATCATTTTTATTATATTTTATGTAAAAAAATGTAAATGATATTTTATGTAAAAAAATTTAAATAATAAAAAATTTTATTTCATTTTACCACCAGCCTTTTTTAAATTTAAATAATAAAATATAAACCCTAATCACCAAATATATAGAATACATGATTATGCCAACCAGTTACCCGGAAATTATATAGGCTCCCAATAGACAATGCATCCCGAAATTTACAAACCTAAATTATGTAAGAGTAAACAATTAAAGTTGTTATTATTATAGAAAATTTGGCCATTATCGTTACCTGCCCAAATAGGAATAGGGACAACAAAAATCTATCCCATAACCCAGCTACGAATCCCGGAAAAAAACCCCTGGAAAAAAAACCCCGGAAAATAAACTCCCAGGAAAAAAACCCCGCAAAATAAACCCTCAGGAAAAAAACCCCCAGGAAAAAAAACCCCCAGGAAAAAAAACCCCCGGAAAATAAACCCCACAAGA